AATAGCTGGGACTACAGGCATGCGCCATCATACCTGGCTAATTTTTTGTATTTTTAGTTGTTTGGCTAATTTCTTTTTATTTTTAGTAGAGACAGGATCTCGCTCTTGCTCAGGCTGGTCTAGAACTCCTGAGCTCAAGCAATCCTCCCGCCTTGGCCTCCCAGAGTGCTGGGATTACAGGCGTGAGCCACTGTGCCTGGCCCATTTTGCTATTTTATCACTTATTTTATCACTTTTTATTATAGTCCTCAAATATAAAAAGGCAAATAAAACACATCCAGCAAGATCTGCAGCCTCTCCTTATCGTCTCAAAGCCACAGTTTATGGCGCTCCAAGCAGTAACCACCTCTGGCCGTGCCTCACAGCCCTGGCCAGGTTTCCCCGGTGACCCCACTCCACCTGACCAGGCTGTGCAGAGCCACTCAGCTGGGCTCTGTGCTGGGTCACAAATGTCACCAGGATAGGGGCCTCCTGGGTTAGCCCTCCCCCAAACTCCCAAGGCTGGACATTGTGGCAGCCTCCACCCCCCAAAATAAGTCAAGGCTACGTTGCAATAACGAGAAATGGACACTTCGTTGAAGACCCCAGGGGAGGCAGGCCCCTACCTCCCTGGGTACGGGCAGGCTGGTCTACTTTCAGGGTGCTCGGTCTGGAGAGGAAAGGGGTGAAGAGGGCAGGTTCGGGGTCTGTGTCCATTCCCAGTTCTGCCCCGGCCCAGTCCTCTAGCCTCTCTGGAACCCAGCGGCCTCACCTGCAGAGCAGCCTCACCTTGAAGACCGAATGAGCCAATGCTAAGCAGAGTGACAGGCATCCTGCTGGTGCCCAAACAAGGCTGGTCCCCCTGGCAGGTCCTGGGAAATTGCAGGGCCCAGACCAAGCCCAAGCCTACCTTTGGGGCCCTCCCCCAGGTGTGGTGCTCCCCCTGGCTCCCCAGGTGTGCATGCAGCCCTGGTCCCTGGCAGCCCTGGCCACCTTGGTATCATTCTCTGCTGGCCTCACCTCCCACCCCTTTCCACTCAGACCCACTGCCCCGACGGCTGCCCTCTATGTCGGCCCGAGCTCCATATCGGCCCGAGCTCCAGGGCTTTCCCAGACGGGCAGGTGGAATCTGGGTGGGGCGGTGCTATCTTCCTATGAGAGTAGTTCAGGCGGACAGTCTGGGTGCCCTGGAGGGAGGAGCAGTCTGGCCTGCATCAGTGCCCAGGGAACAGAGCCCGCTGAGGGTGCAGGCTGGAGCGCGCATCATCTACCATTCCCTCGTTTCGGACGACCCCCGCAGCCTCAAGCAGGGGAGACTGGAGTGCCCCCCTCCCCATCTACTTACCTTTCTGTACAACTTGAGCCAGTCAGGTTAGTTTTGTGGGCCTCCATTTTTCCACCTGTAAAAGCGGTGAATTATGCCCACTTCTAGCGGTTATTGTCCCGGTCATGTGGGCAATGTAGGGACGTGCATTTCTAAATTATCAGCTTACTCTCCAAATGTCTGGGCCCAGGACATTTCTTCCAGGCAGTCGGCCTTGCAGAGGAGCTTGGAAGGCTCCTCCTTGAGGGTGGAGGGCAGAGAGTGACGTTCGGGCAGCCAGGGTACAGCTGGTGCCGGAATCCTCCCACCGCTACCCAGCAGTATTCTAATGTCGAACGGTGTTGCTGACTTTATCAGGGAGGAAGTCTGGAAGATAAGCCAGCAGGACTGTCACAGCAGACGAGTCCAGGCGGCCAGGAAGAGAAGGGATAAGTCGACCAGAGGCCATGGAGGGGATGGTAGTAGAAGGTGCTGCTGGTGCCAGGTTCCTGCTAGCGGCCAGGGCTCTGTGGGCAGGAGGGGTTGGGGGGGTCCATGGCATAGGTGACCCAGTGGGTAGGAACTCGTGGCTGTTGGATGGCCATGACGGGCTTAGACAGGGTCCAGGCAGCCCACAGGTGGGATAGTCTGGCTGCCCAGGACAGTGGGTGCTGCGTCAGCTGAGCAGGATGTCTGGCCTAGCAGGGCCCAGGGCCATCAGGCCACTGGGCAGCAGCCCAAGCCTGCAGACTAGACACACGACAGGGGCAGGTGGCAGGTCAGGACCCGACTAATCAGGGCCCAGGCTGCTGGGGCTGAGCCCATGCTCTCTGCCCTACTTGGCAGCTCAGGGCCTGTCCAGCCCCTGTGTGGGGCTGGGGCCAGCCATGCACATGCCAGGACAGTGACCAGCTGGGGCATCAACGTTCTGCAGTGCCACGGGTGGAAGTGAGGCCCTGCGGCAGCCCAGGTGGAAGCACCATGCAGTCAGCTGCCAGGGGACTCCGCGGCATGGAGGGAGGGGATATGGGTTGGAGGAGAAGGCGAGCGGGGGTGTCCCAGGCAGACGTGTGGGAAGGGCATTTGGGCCAGGGCCTAGCATGGGAAAGGCGTGCCTGCCAGGGAAGAGGAGAGGGAGGTGCTGGGAGGCCACCAGGGAGCCGGGAGTGTGTCCTGATGCAGAGGACAGACCGCCCAGGGCCGCTGAGTCTACAAGCTGCCAGGCAGCTTCGCAGCTACCTCCGACCCCCCACCCCACCCCGAGATCCAACACACAGCAGGGGCCTGGCAGCTGCGCTGGAGCAAAGCTGCCTCTTCCTTCCGTCCCCCAGTGCTGTGCTCGGAATCATGGGCCCACAGTCCCCCACGTAGGGCCTGACACTACCCGGCCCCTCTCCCCACCCAACTCAAGCGTGTCTTCTGGAGCCTGGGCCTTCCTTGCACCACCCTCTCCCCTGAGCATAAGCCTGGGGTCCCGCACTGGCCAGGCCCCTCCCTGGCCATCCCGGGACTACAGGCCCCCTGGCTGGAAGACTGTTGTCTTAGTCAGCTCAGGCTGCCACGACAAGACGCCACAGACTGGGTGGCTCAAACAGTAGCTATTTGTTGTTTCCACAGAGTGCGCAAAGGCTGGAAGTCCAAGATCAAGGTCCAAGCCAGCACGGCTGCTTTCCTCTGAGGCCTCTCCTTGGCTTGAGGACGGCCACTGTCTTGCTGCCCCTTCACAGGGTCATTCCTCTGTGTACACACTTGGTGTCTCTTCGTGAGTCCCAATTTCCTCTTCTTACAAGGACGCCAGGCAGACTAAATTAAGGCCCGCCCTGATGGCTACACGTAATCACCTCTAAAGATCCTATCTCCAAATACAGTCACGTTCCGAGATACCGGGGTTAGGGTGTCAACATCTGAATTTGGGGGTCAACCCACAACAGCCCCTGGGAGACCCCAGGCCTGGCTGGTGGCGGTGAGTCCACCGGGTGAAGAGGGCAGGGAACCCCCCTCTGGCGAGCGGAGGGCACCGCTAGTGCTTTGTAACTGATGCTGCCGTCTCCCCCAGGGGAGTTCCTTGAGGGCCCCCACTCTGGCTGCAGGATTTCGGGCATCCGGAGGACAGCTGAATGCAGAAACAGGGAGCGGCAGAAAGAGCCTGGCCACAGAGAGGCCGGAGGAAGAGGCCCTGGGGGAGGAATGCCGGCATTCCCGAGCCGCTGCCCACGCCCGCCCACCCTCTTCACGCACAGCTGTGCAACATCAGCACCTGCCTCCCACTGGCACAAGGTTTCCAAACAAGTTTCAGATCCACATTTCCCAAGCCTCAGAGCAGCAGCCGTGGGAGGGAGGAGGCAGGACAGGCCTTGCTGCTGTCCACCCCACTACACTGGGAGACCAGGTATGGCTCGCTCAAGGGTGGGGGCTAGGACTGTAGCCCCAACCCAGGCTGCAGGACTGTCTGGGCCTTGGCGGCAAGGCCCGAATGGGGGCTGGGCTCCCGGGAAGGAGTGATTCATGGCTTGGTCCTGCCCTGTAGACAGTCACAGGGAGCTGGCAGGATAAGACCTGTGCACGGAGCTACCAGTGCCAGGCACAGCAGCGAGGCCACAGGACCTGGCCTGCTCCACCTCTGTCTGCAGCAGGAGGGCCAGGCAGGAGAGCTGAGGGAAGGGCAGGTGGTTCCCAGGTCAGTCCTGGAGCCAGAGCTCGGAGTGAGCCTTGGCTCTGTCATGTTGGAGCCCTGTGCTCTTGGCAAGTTACTTAATGTCTGGGAGCCACAGAGTCTCCCTTAAGTTGGGGATGGCCGTGCTTGCTCGACCCGTATCTGAGTGCTTCCTACATGCCAGGACTGTGTTAAGCACCGAGGATACAGCAATGTCCCTGTGGAGCTTACACAAAGGGGGACAGATGTGCTCTGCAGGCAGGCCTGGAGCCGGGCTGCAGGGTGCTGGTTCCTCTAGGTGGGTGGTCAGGAGGCCTCCCTGAGGCAGGGTGTGGAGCGGGCGGGGTGATGAGGAAGGAGAACCCCACCACAGAGGCGATGCCTCTGCCAAGTGCTCAGGCCCAGCTCCTGTTCCTTGGTTCCTTGGGCCTGCTCAGGAGGGGACTGTTCAGCCGTCTGGCCCTGGCACTCCCTGGTGGCCTCAGGCTCCAGAGTGGTTCGCAGGCCAGCTCCCCAAGTCCCCGGGCAGAAGCCCTCCTCCTTTGGAAGGCCTTCCTGCCTGTCCAGGCTAGCCTGCTGATCCCTTTCCCGGCCCACAGGAGACCGGAATCCAAAAGGAGACCGTCGCCCAAGGTCACGCCGCCCGTGGGCGCCCACCGCCTGCGCACGACCGCCCGGGCAGCATTTCTGCGCCCCCCAGACCCCGCCTGTCATTACAGCCTGCCAGGGAGGCGCTGCCGAGCCCACGCCCGCGGGAGCGACCGACTCCAGCGCCGCGCTGCAGAGGAGGGTCCCCCCTACCCTGCCGCTCCCAGCTCTCCGACCCCCGCCAGGGTCCCCCGCCCAGGGCCCCTTCCTCGGCCCCCC